CTCTGATATGAAGTTTGTTAGGGAAGAGGTCATTCCAGGCTCTCTGTCCAAACCAAAATTCTAGGACTTCACACTGACTGACAGGCAGCTTTGAGGTGTAGGCAGCCCCCGTGGTGTGGGGACAGAATCCTAGGGATATTGAGAACTTGCAGCAAAGGTACTTTGTGAGTGTTTTTAAGGCAGCTGATGCTAATTACCATGTATTATCACAAGCTACGCAATGTGCTAACTGATGTACATTATCCCATTCATTCATTCCTCACAACACAAAAACAGTTAGATATTCGGAATATGTAACTGAAGTAGATATCATAAGAGTACAAAAAGCAAGAATGCAGGCACACTTCATTTTATTGCACTTTACTATGCTTTGCAGATATTATGGATTGTTGTTGTTGTTGTTGTTGTTGTGTGTGTGTGTGTGTATGTGTATGTGTGTGTGTGTGTGTGTGTGTGTGTTTCATGAATTGAAGGTCTATGGTAAACCTATGTTGAGCAAGTCTATCAGCACCATTTTCCAACAAGATCAGATAATGGTTAGCATTTTTAACAATAAAGTATTTTTTAATTTAGTTATGTACACTGGGGGTTTTTTTAGACATAATGCTATTGTACATTTAATAAACTACAGTATAGTGCAAACATAACTTTTCTGTGTAGTGGAAGACAAAAATATTCATGTGACTCTCTATTGTGATATTAAATTGCAGTAGTCTCACTATTATCTCTGAGGTATGCCTGTACAGATTACATAAAGAATATCATAACCCACAGCTCTAGGCTATAATAATCAAAAAATAAGTGAGAGCCACTATCCCAGAGATTCCCCCTCTAATGAATGTCAATAGGGCCATCCTAAGTCACTATTCTGGAACATCTATAGGAGATTTTAACAATTTATTTCCAGACTGTTTTAAAAGAATATATGACCATGTATTTTTAAAATGCATTACTATTATATCCTATGTAATAAAAGGCTAATATGCAAATCAACCAAACAGCAGAAGAACCGGGTCGCTATGATGTGCACTGACCACCAGGGGGCAGGCGCTCAAGGCAGGAGCTGCCCCCTGGTGGTCAGTGCGCTCCCACAGGGGGAGCACCACTCAGCTCACAACTGGCGAATGCAACTATGGTGGCGGGAGCCTCTCCTGCCTCCATGGCAGCGCTAAGGATGTCCAACTGCAGGGAGCAGGCCTAAGCCATCAGTTGGACATCCCCCGAGGGCTCCCAGACTGCAAGAGGGTGCAGTCCAGGCTGATTGACCCTCCCCCAAGTGCACGAATTTGATGCACTGGGTCTCTAGTAGTAAGATTTAAAAAAAAAAACATGCTGTGGAAGTTAAATACATGGCTCTGTGGCCAGATGGTCTATAGACTATTATGTGACCTTGAACTACTTTTGAGTCTCTGTTTCCTCACCTTTAAATTGAGAACAGTAATAGTACCTCCACTCAGTGTTGTTTTAAGGATTAAGTTAGCTAACACATGTAAAACACCTGAAATATGCCTGACAAATACAATAAGAGTGCAATAAAAGTGAACTTATTATTCTCTATTTCTCAATCACTGTATTGAACAACTCATTTACCATGCTCCAATTCCTCTTCAGGTTCAATGGAAACATTTTCGCAATTGCTTTAGAAATAGTAAAAGTATTACAAAGTGCTTGGCCAAATAGTCTAGGCCAGTGGTTGGCAAACCGCGGCTCACGAGCCACATGCAGCTCTTTGGCCCCTTGAGTGTGGCTCTTCCACAAAATACCGGCTCTTCCACAAAATACCGACTTCTGTGCATGGGCCACGAAGTTTCAATCGCACTGTACTGCGCTCCCCCACGTGGTATTTTGTGGAAGAGCCACACAAAGAGCCGCATGTGGCTCGCGAGCCGCAGTTTGCCGACCACGGGCTAGGCTAAAGGACAGAAATGGCTAGAGTGAAAAAGTACAGGTAAAGAAATACACTGCAGATGTAAGTATAAAATAGTGCCCCCACTCGAAAACTGACCAACAGCATGCACTGAAGCTGAACAAATATAAACCCACAACCCAGCAATGCTACTCCCAGGTATGCCAACAGAAATGTGCACTAAAACTTTCATACCGGCACTACTTTTAACAGCAAAAAACTGGAAACTGACCAAAAGCCTATCACAGGGAACACTCCGCAGTTCTGAGAATGACTAACCTCCAACTAACTACACACAATGATAAGGGCAAGTTTCACACACAAAATGTAAAGTGAAAGAAGCCAGACACGAGAGAGAATATAGAATTCTAGCTATAAAAGGTGTCAGAACAGGGGACTGGATGCTGGGATGCGCCGCCCACGCCCCCCTCGGGAAGGAAAGATCATCCCCAGCTGCTAGGAGCTCTGCCAGCACACACCAGGCAGCTGTCCACCCTCTTTAGAAGCTGCCTCTCACAGAGCAGCAGCCCAAAGGCCCGCCCCTTCCTGAGCAGCCAATCACTGGTGAACAAGGGATATAACCACCTATTTCTTATGCAACTTGGAACATCTTTGAAGGCCTTTCCAGAACTCCACATGGGATCAACTAGGCTTCCACTAAGACTGAATTACCTATCAGCTTTTCCCACAGCCCAACCCTGCTCTCTTTCTTTCCCTTCCCTTCCCTAATCACTGACCCTAAGTACTCTCCCTAATAAATGTCCTGAACCCTAATCTCGCTCTCAGAGTCTGTTTCCCAGAGTATCCAAACTACAACCGAGCAAACTGGATCCACGATGTGAGGGGTGGGGACAGTGATGACTACTGAGGAAAGGCAGGTAATGTAGAGGAGGGGGAAGGAAGAAGAATTTCTGGGGTGTTGTAGTAGTCTTTTTAAAAAATATGGGTGTTGGTTGTATGAATGTGACCAAATGGGGGAAATTCATTGTATTGTAAATGTGACTTTTCTGATGTACTATAATTATACTTCAATATGAAATTAAAAGAAAAAACAAAAACTAGAAAATGATCAGAATGGGGCAGAACCTTAAAGAACATTCAGTCCCTCCTCTGTGCATCCTTTAAATAACCATTTACTGGGAACTCAGCACAGCCCAGAGATGGCTAACCCAAGATCGAAAACCAGCTGGTGGCAAACCAGGTCCACATCCGTGCCTGGCCTCCTGGACAACAGTCTTCTACTGCTTTTTCCAGACCATGTTCTCACAGGCAACACTGGGAGTCGAATCTGAGGCCTCCTGCAACCAGCTTGCCAACTAGGCAGTTTTGCCTTGCAAGGAGGAAGACTCTCAGGTGAGCCAAAATGCAAGCACCCAAAGGTACCTGTAGGTATCTCCACCTTTGAGTCTTCCTGTAGAAACATACCCTGCTCTGAAATCAGAAGACAAGAAAATCTTCCTCATGTAGATAAAACAGCATGCTTGACCCTCAAGAAAGGATTCATTACAGCTGGCTGCATTTATTATTTACCTATCCCCCACTCCCACCTTCTAAAAAGCAGTTTTTAGTTCATTTAGTTAATAAAATGTCCTCTCTCTTCTCCTTTTAGAGAATAAGAAACACAAAGAGGAAAAATATGCCCTGAATTAGGGAAGATAAATTCCTTCACTTTCCTATCTGGCTCTTAACGAGGTTATTTATCATATACCCATTTCTGATGCTAAACTCACTTGGGTCACTGAAAACCATTCATCCTATAATTTTGGACTACTTCAGACCAAATGACTCCCTTTAGATGATGATGACGATGACAATGATGGTGATGATGGTGATGATGGAGATAGGACCAAAGGAGAGATTGGGGAACCATTGTTACAAAATTGTTGCTTTATTTCCAAAACAATTTTAGTTCTTCTTTGAGATGTAAAAACTAAAGGTCATGAGTGATCTCTAGGAAACTCAAAGGTCTACCACTACCCAATATTCATGAGCATTGTATAACAACAAAGAGGGAAGAATGTGAGCGTTTTACCTGCATTACTTTGGCTGGATCCAAGAGAAGAGTTAATCTTTCAGTGTGTTGTGACAGTTGTTTTTTGTTCGCCTGTTTTTCTTGGAAAGAGGTAACAGAGCATACAACCCCACAACTAAGCTCTAATAAAACTTTTTGGGCTTGATCCCAAAAAATAGCTAAACATTCTTGGATTTCCTTTTAAGCTTTTTTTTCTTTCTTTTTTTTTTCTTTTTTTGGAAGAAGACATCACAGGAGTATATACAACTAAATTATTTACTCAAAAGGGCTTGTCTCCCAGATAAATTTGACCAAGAGATGAAAATAATGCAATAATAACGTGCCTTCCACTCTTTAGCTTGAACACTCAACAAGAAGCTGGCTAGGAATTTCCCACTGTTATTTAAGTCATTCATTCAACAAATATTTTTTGAAAGCCTACTCTGCCTTCAAGCAAAAATCTATTTAAGTCCTCCTTATAGAGAGATATAAAAATATCTCAAACTATCCCTTCTCACCCCTTAGTGGAATGCTAGAACCCTCTCCCACCCAAACCAAGAAGCAACTTTATATCCTGACTCTCTTATGCACCAGTCCTTCACAAAAGAACAGATGAAGAATATCCCCTGAATGTTTATAAGACATTCTTTTTACTGCAATACCTTTGGCCCTTCCAAAATTCAGAAGAAGAAAAAATCAGAGCAAATCTGTTTCCTGGGAAGAGTGACTCAGGACTCGGTCAAAGGGATGAGATAGGTGCTATCTGAGCTGTGTCTGTAACGTGGCCAGCAGTTAGTTACAAGAGGTGGCTGTGTCACACCTTTCTGAGCTCACCAAGCCCTCCATCTGCAGAGAACTTGTTCCACAACTGGGACCAAAGACTGCAACAAGAGCAAGAGGAGCATGCCCTTCCCCTGCCCTCCCTTCACCTCTAGAGAACATCCCTGACAGAGCAGGAGAGCACTCCGGGCACACTCAGTGTTTGCAACAGACACACAGATCAGACGGGTCTGTGGCCGACACTAGCTGTATTCATGAGAGAGGTTTGCACACTGCTGCATGAAAATCTGAAAAGCAGTCTACCTCGGTTGGTCCAGCATACATCATGGGGGATGGGAAGATGGCCACCACCGTTGTTTCGGGATTCAGGACGCCTTCCTCCAGCACGGCAGCATGCTGCTTCATTCGCCACATCAAAGGAACATCGTCATCCTTGGTCCAGCCACCCAGAGGGTGCAGGAGAAGAACAGGGCGCCGGTAGCCCCTCTGTAGAAGTTGTTTATGGGTGTCTTGCATTAATAGAGCATGTCCGTTGTGCACTGGGTTGCGTAATTGAAATGCAAAGACAGCATCTGAAAAGAGCATTTTCAGAGTTAAGAGGAGCATGTTTCTAACAGATGACCTTGCAAAAAATAAACAGTTCTTGAAGCTTGATGCTTAGGAACAAGCAAACATGCATTCTCGGAATCAAAAACTGGTAAAAAAAAAAAAAACATGTATTGCTCTGACCACGCCAACATGACCTGCACTTCTACTGTATGTTTACTTTACAAATCTCACATGTTTTAGGATGTGTCATAACAGTAATGGGTTTATAACAATTACTTTCTACATTCATGGGAAACTTGAGAACAACGATCATACTCTCGGGTCCTGACATCCTGGTTCAGCTGCTTACATGGATATAAATTCTTGGTCTTTGCCTTAATGACTCACCAGGCCAATCCCTCCATAGCAGCGGTCACCAACCTTTCGGACCTCATGGTCCACCAGTGGTCTGCGGACCACCGGTTGGCAACTGCTGCTCCATGGGACCTAAGATACTTCTTTATTAAAAGAATACAGTAAGGTGGAGACATTTATAATTCAAAAAATTTACTTGCTTTCCAAATATGTACATCTATACTTTGCTTGACTGGAACCCTATCTGGCTTTGTGATGCCAGGTTGGGATTTTGGATTACAGCTGAGAAACACCAATATCCCTTACAAGGGCCATTGCTATTACCCAAACATTAGACTGATTAGTTCTGTATCTCAGGTTTAGAACCCTGGCTTTTATCCCTACATGGGGCTTCCTATTAGGAGACCTTTCTTAGAAGACATGGTTCTTTGGGGTCACAGAGCAATCTCACAGAAGAGAGTGATAACCCCGTTAGAGGAGCTCTGCATTATAGTGCCTTCACAACACCTGGCACAGGTGTCACAACAGAGACACTTACTAAGCACTAATGAATCCTACTCCAGGTTGCTGTGAGTTTCTGCACTGATGGGAACGTTTGGAGTTGGGGAGAGGTGGGGCTGTCCCATGGGGAGGAAAGGAGACTCTGGCCCAGCACAAGCCTGCAGCACCAGGACCAAGGAGACAGGCCGGGGCCTAGAAGACAGCCCATTTGATTGGGGCACTGCTTACATACAGGGAGGTACAGCAAATAAGTAAATACATTGAGGATAATGGGAGCCAAGTTTCATACCATAGGAGAAAGAAGGTATAAACACAGAAAAAAAGAAAGGCTAGAACAGACCATGTGGAATTGGGTTATATGCTGGGGTCCAACCCCAGCAGGTCCAGGGGTCCCCAAAGGTGTGGACGGAGTCGGCAAAGAAGGAATGACATGGAGACAGTGTTCAGTTGATCAGCAGCCTAGCCAGGATCTCCAGCCAAGTTCTGGTTAGGATCTTCAGCCAAGTTCTGGCTAGGATCTCCAGCGAAGTTCTGGTCAGGATCTCCAGCGAAGTTCTGGTCAGGATCTCCAGCCAGGTTCTGTGTCCATGTTCTCTCACTAGGTTCTCTAGCCAGGTTCTAGCCCGGATCTCCAGTCAGGTTCTGTCGCCAGGTTCTAGTCAGGTTCTCTTGCCATGTTTTCTTGCTAGGTTCTGTCTCTAGGTTCTGTCTCTAGGTTCTGTCTCTAGGTTCTATCTCTAGGTTCTTCAGCCAGGTTCTCTCGCTAGGTTCTCTTTCTAGGTTCTGTGTCTAGGTTCTTCAGCCAGGTTCTCTAGGTTCTGTCTCTAAGTTCTGTCTCTAGGTTCTGTGTCTAGGTTCTGTCTAGGATCTCCAGCCAAGTCCTGTCTCTAGGTTCTGTGTCTAGGTTCTGTCTCTCGGTTCTGTCTAGGATCTCCAGCCAAGTCCTGTCTCTAGGTTCTGTCTAGGATCTCCAGCCAAGTCCTGTCTGCGCCCAAACAGGGACCCTTAGGTAAGCCCCCCATTCCCCTAGGTAAGCCCCACTCTCAGATAGGACTCCACCGTAGGAAGAGGGTGGATAGTCTTCGCCGACTCCGTCCACACCTTTGGGGACCCCTGGACCCGTTGGGGTTGGACCCCAACAGTTATAAAGGAAAGTAGGGTGACTTCACGGTTTTCAGCTATTTAGATAGGCAGATACAGGGACAGATATAAATGTGTGTGAGTTTATGTGTATATATATGCAAATGTATATTTCTTAGTTCTGTCAACTAAAAGGTCCTACAAGCAACAACTCTGCAGTGAATTGACAATGAGCAAAACTGAAGTCCAAATTTTGCATTCTCTTTAGAATGGTTTTTACCATTGCCCACTTAAACAAATCAGGGCTCCTGGGCAAAATGACTGATTCTGGGGCTAAGGCAAGGAAAGTACAGTAAGTCCTCAACGTCATCCAATGACGTATCATGAAACCGATTTTACCACAGGCTAACTGATTTTAAGGAGAGTTAAGTTCCTAGGACAGCTCATCATTATAATGAAACTAGAGGTCCAGTGTACGAAATTCATGCACAGGTAGGGTCCCTAGGCCTGGCCAGTGATCAGGGCCTACAGGGGCCTCCCTTCCCCTGCGGCCAGCTGCTGACTGGGGCCTTCCTTCATTCCACACCGCCACCTGGTGGTCAGCGCACATCATAGCAAGCAATCAAACTCCCAGTAGAACTCCTGAGGGGACACTTTGCATATCAGCCTTTTATATATATAGATAGATGACACTGAAGTTATGCAAAGGCCTGCTGCTCAACATGAGCTGAAACATTCTTTGTGTCATGAAGAAAGTGCTCAAAGAATGACAGGGACACGTCAAAAGGACAAAGCAACCAGCCTGGCAAACCCAGAACAAGCTAAATATCAAAGTAAGTAATAGTAATGGATCGTACCCAACTGAGTAAAACACTAATCTGTGAGTCCCTAAGAATAAAATAAACGAATAACCAATGGAGGAGAAGTGGAAATTCTACCTTATGGTAGAAAGTCAACTAATAAATGTAAAAGGAATGAGGGGATTAGAAATTCACCATTTGACAGTATTTGTATTGTGCTAAAACTAGCAGGTAAAAGTTTGATGACAACAGAATATTTATGGTCTAAAATCCCTCCCCCAAAATACTTGTTAGTAAGTATAAAATAATTTGCTAACTTTACAGCAGAAAAAAACCTGGCAAACACAATCTTAAGTGATAAAAGTTAACTTTAAAAAAGGTTAAACTCATCTGTAACAGAACGAATCAAAACTGTGAGCCACCCAATACAATGCACAAACTCTATTCCCAGCGAGTGTTTCTGAGGTGAGGGAGTGTTAGCTCAGTGCTGGATACGCAGCCTGTGTCCTCTTTAATCACGAACAGGAGTCTATCTTTGAACATGACCCTTGGTTAATGCATCTCAGGTGTATGACGACTACATTCCTAGACTTCAATCAGGTCAAATCTGATTTTGTAAAATCGCCATTTAGCAGGGTTATTTATATGAGAGGATGTGCAAAAGGAAACATAAAAAATAAATTATGTCTCACATACACATATTTCACAGATTCTAATAATTTATCTACCTAGGCTTTCTTTCCAAAAAGAATTAATCTAGCTCCACACTGGACATTTAACAGATAAAGTTAAGATGGATGACATATTAAAAGTTCACATTAGAAACATATAAAGGATTTTGCTGCCAAAATTTCTTCCAGGTAGAATTCTTTCCTTACTATCAGTTGCACTCAGAAATCCAATGACCACATTTGATCTGTCTGCCCATTTTTTTCTTGCCAACGGAACCAGGTCTTTCTTAAATTTCAGGTCTTTTCAATTCCTCATCACTATTTATCAACGAATTACACAAATGGCTTTAACTGTCTGTAGTTCCAGGGTGTATTTTCACCCCTACCTTTTGGTCTCTCCTCTAAAAAACTTCCGTGAATGAAAGCTGTAATCAGAGCATCTGATCCATTAGGAGCTACACTCCCAGGGTTCTGTCCCAATAAACATAGCCCAGTATGCATACTATTAAATTTTCTTTCATCAATTTTCCATCAAAAATAAAATAATAATGGGCCATATGAACCTGGGGCCACTAATACAACAACTTTCATTACGTCTCACATTTTAATTCCCATTTTCTAAAAAACAGTGATTTCCCTGATTGTCACACCATAATCAGTATAAAAATTTGCCTTCTCACTTACAATTCCTTATGGCTTAGTTGCAGACTGCTTTACCTAACACCGTGTTTGAAAATAGGTGATGATCTACAAGATGACTGAAATTTAATGTTAACACTTATGATTTCCATTTCTTTCTAGCCCTCTGTACCCCTGTTCCTGGAAAAGGACCAGGTATTCCATAATCTTCACTTACAGAAAGTACACTGCAAAGCTGCTGAGACCATGAATAAAAGCAAACTTTTCCCTTAAAGAGCCAGAGTGAATATTTTAGGCTTTGCAGGCTATGGGGTTTCTGCAGCAACTATTCAGCCTGCTATAGTGGTGCAAAAAAAGCCACAGGCCACGCATAAACAAATGAATGTGGCAGTTTTCCAATAAAACTTTATTTACAAAAAACAGCAGTGGGCCAGACTTGGCCTGCAGGCTATACTTTGCTAAGTGAAATGTGGCTGATAGAAGTACAATCAGTATTCCAACCCAGCCAGCTGATGTGAGCCAAACTGTGGACGCAGAAAAGCAGAGATTGATGTGTGTGAGGAACACAGGATCATCCATCCTGTCACAGATGGATATAAAAGCTGATACAGACGATCGTGTAGAACAGGGGTCCTCAAACTACGGCCCGCAGGCCACATGCAAATACAAATATTGTATTTGTTCCCGTTTTGTTTTTTACTTCAAAATAAGATATGTGCAGTGTGCATAGGAATTTGTTCATAGTTTTTTTTTTAAACTATAGTCCGGCCCTCCAACGGTCTGAGGGACAGTGAACTGGCCCCCTGTTTAAAAAGTTTGAGGACCCCTGGTGTAGAATATCAAATGCCAGGTCAGGAAGGACACAATGTGACCAAAAGGGGTTGTGAGTTAACCAGTAGTGTCTTACAGAAAACTAGTCCAATGGCACTGTGCAGGACTGATGGGCAGGGCAGAGAGTAAGTGGGTAGAATGAAGAGA